ACTTGTTTTTGTCATTGCTCTCTGCACCACCACGTACACGTTATGAATTACAAAGCCTTATCTTTTTCCCTAAAATTTTTAAACTATGCTGCCTTGAACGTCAATTTTCCGGTAAAACCTCACAGTTTTTTATCGACATTTCAGAACTACAAGTCAATAAACTGAATTCCCACATTTATTTTTTTCTTCTATCTGAAAAAAATCTACATCATTAACTGAAAGACTGAAACGCACACTTATATTGTAAATTTGTGGTTTCCACTGAAGAAGAGTTACATTAAAAGGCAAAAGTACCGTTATTTCACATTTTAAGCATCAAACAAACCCTTTACAGACAGGTGCATCTTACAATACAAATGTGGTATTTGTTCAACAACGCATCTCACTCAGGATTTTCTAACCGCACAGCTGCAAATGTTTTCAGCATCGTTAGTTGCAAATAAGCTGAGCTTAAATTGGCCAGTGTTAGTAAGTTAAGCCTGTTGAGCTAGGATTTAGCTGACGAGTTAAATAATAAACAATAAACTAACATAAACTAGAGAACTTATTATCTTAAAACTGCTAAAAAAGCAAAGCATTTCTGTTCAAGTCGTCTTTCATTACTCATTTTATAATCAATACTTGTCGAAAGAATAATTGTGGTATTTATAAACAAAAGTAATTTACATTGTTTATGTTCTAACCTTACTGCATTCTCTAATTTTATGCTACTTTTGTAACGCTTTGCTTACCTTCTCTTGAAATATCATCAAAAAACAAAAATTAAACAGATAAGCAGTGTTACTAACTGTGACTTCAGCTGATTCTTCAATCGCGCAGTATTCTTCGGCAATCAGTTGTTTGTTGCCACCTGTTTAGAAACTGATAAATCTTTATCATAAGGCCTCTTGGTGTGTCAAAAATAGTGATGAGAGCTGACCGCTAACCAGTAAAACTGTTTTCAAACAGTTATCTTATCATGATGCTTAACTGATTATGGCATTTACGGACAAAAAGCTCATTATTGAACGTTATTTTCTTCGCGCTAAGTTAATATCAGTTTTTGCTACTTAATTTTCTGCTGTAGAAATATGAGGAATCTTAAAGGATGAGTTTTTTTAAGTTGGTGATAATTGGGCATCGCGCCAAAAATACGTTTTTGTGGAAGCAATACATCTCAACCAATAAAAGTGCAATATTTGACTGGAATAATTTAAACACAAAAGACGGTTTTTGGATGGAGTTATTGGTTTTTTTTTACATGTATCTGGAAATGCCATTTCCTCGATGACTCTATTTTTAAGATTATAAAAGGTATTGTATTGCTCTGGACGAAAAGAAATTTTATTTTATTTAGATGAAGTGGATGGTTTTTTTTTGTTATCACATTTTCTATCCTCGAAAGAAGCATCGTTATATCAACAGAAAAAAAAAAAATTGTTCTTTTAAATCCACTATTGGTATTTCATAATTTTGTAAAGTAATTCACCGTTGTCATTTCAGATAATCTGTGTAGATTTGGTTATAGTCTTCCAACTGACTCTATTTTTTTGTGAAAAGCAGTGGCACGTCCCTTAAAATGCGGGAACACAGTTCCATGCTTTCTTCAAAAACATAAGCGGCGAAATAGCAAGAAAAATTTTTTGGGAGTAGAAGTATCAGAAAGCACGCGACTCAAAATGAACATATGATTGTACAAATTGTTTTGAAGTCTTCTGAAGTCGGACTTAGTAAAATTACTCTGTATAAATTTTTAGCACGATTTTTATTTTAGCAAAAACGATCGCCCATTGGAAGAACTAGTAAATTTTACCTCCTTGAAAAAAATGGAAGTGGGTCTTGAATTTTTTATTAGATAGAATGCAATTCTCACAAACATACTGAGACAACTGAAGAGGATTTATCAGAAGTGGGCTTTAGCGTAAGAATAAGGAGAAAGATAACTGAAAAGCCCTATTACCTCTAAGCTAACAAAGCTGCAAGCCGAAGTTTTTTTTGCTCTGTTAGATAATTCCAAAATCGCGCCATCCATTATAATTTCTCTTCCTGTTTAGCCATCTCTACAACTTCATAATAACACTTCCTTTACTAGGTGGCTATTTGTGAGTCAGGGTTTTAATGATTCAACAATCTGAAAACTGTCGTAAAATCAAGCGAAATTAAAACTAACATGCGGGTTTGAATAAGAAACTTGGTTAAACTAAGCACGGTTTTTTATTTGCAGTCGCCTAATATCAAGCTTTTTTTTGGATCTTAATCTAACAACAGATTAGAAAATCTGGTAATGCAATTACAGAAGAGCACACTTTGGTGTCGTAATTAAAGAATTAGTTTGCTTATTTCTTTACCAGAATCTTCTAACAATTTGATACAAGAAATATATGTAGTACAGTTGACCGAAAAGAATGATCTTAACGGTCTTAATTATGCCAGTCAAATGACGTGACTTCAAATTGCTTTGAATTGCTTAAAACTTTGTTCTTTTTCGATGTCAATTACTATGTATCCCATATACGCTGAAAAGTATTCCGTTAAGTTACTGGATCACATGAGAAAAAGGAAAACAGTCAGGAAGAAGAGTGGGAAGAACTGCAGCAGTACAGCAGTGTAGCTGTATTCGCAGGTTGCCGGTTATTGGTAGCAGAAAAAAAAATTTTTTTTAAAGCATTTCTCAGTCGCTTATGGTAGCATACTAGATTTTTTCTAAAAATGTGAAAATAGATGCACTTTTAAAATCCCTGGTCATGATTAACATCGAAGAATAATTTTCTGGTTAATATTTTGTTTCTTGTTTCTTAGACAATTCTAACTTTAACAAGCCTAATGAGAATCAATAGGGATGATTTGTATCAAAGCTGTTTTGTTGGTTTTGCTCACTTTCAATTTATAAGTGCTTTCTCTAGAAAACTGGTAGTTTAGTCGTACTCTGTCTTTCTATACTGGTAAGACTAAATGTTTTGTCGTGTTGGTGATTTGTATTTTTTTGGAGAAGCGTGGTGCAACAGCGGGGGCAAATTACCAATCTGACAATTCAAGGCCTTGAAAACAACAGGAAATGTCGAAAACTTTTTTCGCGGTTGTAGTTCGTATGAAAGAACACCGCCAAAAGCTTTTCTCGCAAATCTTAAGTAAATGCTCAAGAAGCTATCAGACCAACTCTTGTTCTTTACAAACATTATGCGCCTCGTGGCTAACATAGAGGACGATTTAAGTATTTGCCAGTCTTAGCTTTTGCTGGACCTGAAAACAGGTGACAAAAGGCTCTTGTAATTTGACTCTGCGATAATTCAAGATCTTTTAGAAGCAGACACTGGTAATACTTTGTAGACTGCCTACTTCTACATCAAATTATACTTATGTGAATTAATACATTGTAACCTGCTGGCGTGTGACAAAGTCAGCTGACATGATAACACTTCAGTCAACCAACTTTTGTACAAAAACCACTGTGTTTGTATTTACTATTCAAAGCGTTAAATCCAGTATTCCTTACTCGGTCAAAAAAAAAAAAAAGCAGCTGTACCAAATAAAATCCGGCGGTGTTGAAAAGATAAGACAAGAATATCCGGTTGTCTGTCTAAATTTCTAAATTGACCAGACGACATTTCTTCATCTCTGATTTCGAATTCAGCAACTCTCTAACAAAAACTACGGCCATAAATGATCATGGCACGATAAAAAGTGCTGTCTTAATGGTTATTATAAGAGTTTTTGGTTTGTTGTCCAACATGACTAGCGAACGTTCCACCATAGGCGAGTCTTAGAATTTAATGTGCTTAATGAGTTTTTGTTCTTTTTTTACAGGTTGCCTAGTTCTGAACAGACATATAGTGTTCAAGTTGTCTTTGGCTACTTTCCGAGCACCATATGTGCACACGCTGTGTGTGCAAATAAAGTAATTAATTCTTTCTTAGAACAGACACTAAATTTATGAAAATTGAAGTATCGTCTGGATTAAAAATGGGTGAAAATATAGATGTTCAAAATTACTTATTACATGCATTAAATTATTTCTATTTCATTATTTTCGTTTAACATTACACTCACATATAATCAGATTTTTGCTTAACTGCGTAATCATATATACATATCTGTGTTATTTTGTTTGTTATTAGTTACTTCATTTATTTGCTAGTAGATCTAATTTTAACTACTCAGAGGTAACAAATAATTCTGTCCCGTTGTGCCTTTACTGCAACTGAGAAAGATCAACTGGGTGCAGGGATTCACATTTTTTATTTTCAATCATTTTTCAATTTTTACCTTTACTTATTATACATGGCTGCCCTGTAGATGATAATCCAAAATTTCAGGGTGTAAATGTTTTTTGCCAAAACAGCGGCTAAAACAGTTGAATATAAAGCACTAAAAAGCGAAACACTGTCGCTATTTTCCATGTCCATCAAGGGACCTTTGGTACCTTTCCTGAGCTTCTCTACCACTTTCTAATCTCTCATCTTTTTTACTGCTCGTTGTGTCTAAAAACGAAAAAAATTTTCATAAACTGAGCATTAGGTCTAAAACCAAAAAAAAAAATTTTTTTGAAGTATGTATACAAAAGAAATTTGTTCTTTATGATGTCAGAATAACGTTAACTCTTCAATTTTCATCATATATCCACTTCTTTGTAAACATCAGTTGTTTCTGTTGCAAGAAAAAACTGTTTCAGAACCAGCATTTTTGGAATGGTCTTCTCAACCTTTCTTTTCCTTTCCCTTTTCCATCTCCATTTCGCCTACTCCAAATTCTTATGCGTGAAACAAATTCCTTTCTTTTGGCAAATTCCCAGTCCCATAATACTTAGCGTTTTCCTATTTTTAGGTTCGCAAACTGCACTCTTTCCTCTTTCTCCAAAAAATAAAAATTAAAGCATAACACTTTTTCCCCAAACCTCTCTCTTCTGTTATTCTTTTCGCCTATCGTTTACAAATATTATTATTCTTCTCTACTCTTTTTCTTCAAAAAGTCAGTGACCTGAGTACTGAGAGTACCAAAAAAGCGAAGACAGACTAAAAGCTAGAATGAGAGAGCGCTGGAAGGAGAGGAAGAAGAAAGTAAGAAAACGTTTGCGTAGCAGGCGGAAAAAGAAACAAACTGCAGTTGGTTTGGCAGTAGTGGGGAGGGAGCAGAAGTGTCGTGGAAGCGTCAAAGAAGATTGGTCTGGCAATCAGAGAAGGGAACGGTCGAGGGAGAGGAAGGGAGCCTCGATTGCATTTGAGGACAAGACTGCAGCGGAAGGGATTTTGGGATCGATTTATCGTGGCTTCGATGAACGCTTTCCATGTTTTCGGTCTTTCAAAGTGATATTTAACGTAGGCTGGGCACTTTTAAGCAGTTGGCTTCCCCTAGCATCATCGATAACGACGGCAAAAGCAACCGCGGCAGCAACGAAATTATTCGAAAAAAAAAATGAAACCATTTTTGGAAAGCAGAGAAAAAATTTCCCTCCGCCTCTATACAAAGGAAGCGTTTGGCTTTAACGCAGAGAGTATTTATATTACATATACGTACACATATCGGCAACCATTGTAACTTCTGCAGTTTGTTCCTTTTCCTCTATACCGCTATCCTTTTTCAGTTTAAAAAAAAAAAAAAAGGAAGAATGAAAAAAATAGGAGAAGAGGGAAAGAAGAAATAATCAAAATAAGGTAGTGATAGTAGTAATAATGACTGAAAAAATCATAGTAATATTGGCATTGCTGCTATTAATATTACCGGTGATGAAGGTAATACCAATAGTAAGAATAGTAATATTTATCTATTCAGTTTCTAGTAGCTGCAGTCTGTTCAATAGGCGCTCTTCCCTTTTTTAATACGATTCAAGTTGGTAAATTCCTTCTTTTGTTCAATACAAGAAAGAAATCAAGTGTTTTTTTTTTTTCTAAAATATTTAACTTAAGTCTTTTGCTTTGTTACCACAGTAATTTCATTTTTTCTAATGTTTTATTTTTGCATCTCGTTGTTGTAGCCAAAATTATTCAAAAAGGATGAAAGAAAAAAGTGACATTTATAAAAATTGCAGCAATGATTGTTTTATTCTCTTTCTCTCTTTTCCTCTCTTTGTATATATACGTACCTCAAGTTTTTTTCATTTGTCCGATTGTTTGGTTATTTATAAAATTTGACGTGTTTGAAAATGTATTTTTGGTTAAACTAGAGAAGTTTATAAAAAGAAAAAAAAAAATGAATGAAAATTTTGTTAATATAACAAATTTCTGATGTGGACAATTTTTTCGGCTTTTTCGCTGCAGTGGCGGCAGCGACGGCGGTAGTTTTCGTGTTTGTTATTTGAAGTGTCTCCAAAAACGCAACTTTTTTTGTCATAAAATGTGGAAGACGTTTTTTTTTGTTGTTGTTGTTTTTTGTATTTCTGTTCTTCACTTCTGATTAACGCCTTGTCGCAGAGACGAGATGAAAAAACAAGGATAAGAAAAGCTCTACTTGTCGTTTAAAGTATTCTTTACTATTACTGATACGCATTTTTACTCCTGTACACTCACCTTCGATGTAGCCATGTTTTTCCAACAAATTATTGCACTTGTGTTTTTTGCAATTATGGATAGTAATGGTTTGGTGTATTTTTGCCAGCATTCAATGGAATTACTGGGAGCAACGAGTAGAAGAAGAAACGTTAATAATATTCAGTAACAGTAATGGTGATGGGGATTGTAATCTGCCGGATTTAGTATATGGATGGTCATCAATGCTTTTATTTTTAAATCTTCTGCTGAGTCTGATTCTTTGAGTCAACCGCTAAGCAAAATTGAGTATACAAACTATTATTCGTGATTAAAAATTATCATCGTTCTGTTGTTGGAACGTTTTATTAAAATTATTGTTTCATAAAAATTATTAAATTTTAAATTAATTTGTTTTTTCTCTCGTTTTCTCTATTCTCTCATCTGTTGGTTCTTAATATGAAACAAACATTCTAAAAAATAAAAAGAAGAAATAGAAACAAAAATTTTTTGTTGTTTTTATTCCGCTCGTCTTATTTTTTTTAATACATTTCATTGCATTTGCTTAGCAACTTAAATCAATGCGATTTATGCAACACAAAAAAACCATTAAAAAGTCAATAAGAAAGAAGGAAAAAAGAACATTTGTGGCGCAAAAAAATAGCTTTTTTTGCCGTTTGAAAATTCGAATATTTTAAGTTAGTTTTTTCTGGGCAGACGAAAAATCTACAATTTCTTCTCTTGTCTCTGATGCATTCCCTTCAGACGTTTCAGGCGATCAATTCGTCTAAACGCTACTGATGCTGCTACTGCGACTGCCGCTTTTGGTATTGGCGTTTTTTTTTTTGGTGCAACCGGGTACACCTCAAAAGCCAAGAAGCTGATATTGAATCTGAATATTAAGTGTATTAGAGAAAAGAAGAAAAAAGAAGAGCTGAGGAGAGTGATATCAGTATAAGTTTTGATCACAGGTGCTGTGCACTTTGTTCGAAGGACCTGTGCTGTTAGATTGTAGATTTAAACTTTGGCGGAAATTGTTGGTCAGGTTATATTTTGGACAAAGTAAACCTCGTCCTTTTGAAAACTACTAACTGATAAATACAGAAGGAGAGAACAAGACTAACTTCAACGTTATCTAACTAATTTTAATGTTAAGCGTTTGTTGATAAATATTCTTCTCCTCCTCTCACTTATCTTGTATTTGTCTGCCTAATAAAAGGTATGTTTTATTTTCTTTAGATCAATAAATATTAATGGGGAAGAGCAATTGTTCAACTACTGGCCGTTTTTTGGTCAGATTGCTGGTAAAATTGACATTATAACTGGCTAAACTACAGCCAAAGGTTACTGATATTTTTGCATTTACAGTTGTAATAGTTGTTTTATGGCACTGCAGATAAAAATTTTTTGACATTTTCATCGTCATTTACCCATCACGTCCTCTTTTAATTTTACTCCTCTTTTGATTGCCACTTGTCGTTGAAAGCTTACTATTGCTGTTGCTGAACGCTTAGTAGCATGGAATATTGATCTGAAGTTATTTCCCGTGAAAAGACGTGTAAAAAGTCGAGAATTCTTCGCTTTAAAAAACTTTCTGTTTTTCCAGCTTTCGAAGACAAATTTTGCGTATTGAAAAAAGAAAATAGTCATCACTTACACATTTTTCTCAAACTAACAAATTCAAAACTTTTAGCTAGCTGTCTTTTCTGTCTTCAAAAAAAACGTTTTTCTAGAATTATCCTGAGAGTATAAAGAGTAAAGAGATTATTATGTATAAAAATATAAAAATAAGTAAATACATATATTTACACTTTTTTAATTGACGCAATCCATCTGTGGAAGTGAATATAATAAAGGAAAAGTAAAGTAATACCATATGCGGTTAGTGGCAGTAACATATTATTTTTTAATTTTTTTACTGCTATTTTGTCTTCATTTTTCAACCTCTCCTGTTTCTTTTTCTTGTTTTTTAAATGCTATTACAAAACTTATTACCTGTCTGTAAAAAAGCTTGAAATAAACAAAGGTTTATTTGCGACAGAAAACGATTAGGTCAAGGAAATTGGCAGCAGAAATCAGCAGCACCACCAATAAAAATTTGACGAGAAAATTGAGAAAAAGGAACATACTTTTTTCGTAGCCTCCTTGAAGAATTTTCTTAAATTTATCAAAAAAACTCATAAGATAACTGTTATTTTTGCCACTATAATTGTCTACCTTTACCACTCCGTCGAATACTCATCATAGCAGTGAAAAAACTAAGCTAAAAATTGTATAAAATCTTCACCGCTTTAAAAATATCAAAAATTTATCACAATTTAACATACCCAATATACGTCAGATTTAACCTTACAGTAGTTAACCTTTGATGTAAGTAATAAGTAGATAAATAAGTTAAATAAATAAATAAACAAATAAATGATTGAGTAAACAAACAAATAAATAAATAGAAAAGTGAGCAATCAATTAATTAATTATACAAATGGACAGATTAGTAAATAAACAAACAAATAAATAAACGGACAATAAATAAGTAAATGAATAAATAAGCGAATAATCAAGTAATTAACTAATTAATCAACCGACTGGATAAATAAACAGATAAATAAATAGTCAAGTATATATTTATATGCATAAATTAAATAAGTAAATTAATTAACTTAAATGAACAAATAAAGAAATAAGATAAAATAAAATAAAATAAAATAAAACCAAATAAAATCAAATAAAATTAAGTAAACAAATAAATAAATAAATAAACATATAAATAAACAAATTAATTTATTTATTTATTGATTGAAGAAATCAATGAAGCAAACAAATATATATATATATATATATATATATATATA